TTGCTGTTCGAGTGACACACACCCATACTCTCAGAACTCAGGAGGCAGAGGAACTCCTCAAGTTCAAGGTCATCCTTAGATACCTAGCGAGTTTGAGGTCAGCTAGAACTGCATAGACCCTGTCTCAAGAAAAAAATAAAATTTAATTTAATTTTAATTTCTATCATTACTAGCCTATACAATAGCAGAATTGAAATCACAATGTGCATTTAATGCTAGCCAAGGTCAAGAACAAAGAGGGCCTGATTATACAAACCTAACATCCCAGCTGCTGTGGAGGCTGAGGCAAGACGGTCAAAAGTTCTAGATTTTTCTGGGATACACAGTGAGTCCAAAACCAACCTGGGCTACATAGTAAAATGCTGAAGGAAGGGAGGAAGGAAGGAAGGGAGGGAGGGAGGGAGGGAGGGAGGGAGGATGGAAGGAAGGAAGGAAGAAAAGAAAAAGGATAGAAAAAACCATAATAAGATATTAGTTGATGGGTCACAAAAATAAAAATTAAGCATTACTGAGCACATGGAGGAATTGTACATTTGCATATCCCTTGCAGAAAAGCAGAGTGTTTTGGCAGTTTCTAAAAAAGCAAACACAGAATTACCAGATGGTCTGACAATTCTACTTGTAGGTGTATACCTCAAAGAAAATAAACAGGTACTCAAATAAGTGCTTATATGCAAGGCTCGTACTGGAACTAGTCACAGTACCCAAAAATCAGGAACATTATCAGTGGCTGACTGGATAAATGAATCGTGGCATACCCATACAAAGAAATACTATTCAGTCGTGAAAACAGACGAGCACAGGCTTCAGTGTGGATGAACTTAAAGAAAAAAAAGTGTGGTAGATGAAAACAGACCGACATAGAAGTCTACATGCGACAGTGCCATTCCCGTGAAATGTTCGGAATCGGTGATTCTTCTGGGAAGAGAGCAGGGGTGCTTGCTAGGAGCTGGAGGAGGGTAGAAGGTGTAATTACAGCTTTCTGGGTGTGGAGTCTCCCTAAAGGGTGGAGAAAGTGCTTTAGAATTAGATAACAATGGGGCCTCCCCCACCAGCCCCAAGATTACACTCTGTGAAAGACGGGCCACTGTGATTGGTCTAATAAGAAAGCTAAAGGGCCAATGGCTGGACAGGGAGAACAGGTGGGGCTTCAGGGCAAAGGGAGGAACTGGGGATAGATCGAGGCCCACGAAGGAGGTGCCGAGAGACCCAGAGCAAGCCAGAGAGGTACAGAGAGAAAGAGAGGTAAGCAGTCATGCGGGAGAATGTAGATTTAAAAAATGTGGGTTAATTTAAGAGCCAGTTAGAAACAAGCCTGAGCTATAGGGTATAAGTGGGGGTGGCGTGGGGTATTGCACACCTTTGATCCCAGCACTCGGGAGGCAGAGGCAGGTGGATTTCTGTGAGATCTGGTTGGGAGCTGGCTGGCACAGCACCCCCATCAAAATATCCTTTCCTTGTAAAGTACTGAACGCATCCCTCCATAGCATCTTACCATCTTCTTCAATTGTGTTTTTCTTAGGATTTGTGTGTGCTTGTGTGTACGTGTGCATCTATGCGTGCATGCGTGCCTGTGTGTGTGTGTGTGTACACACATATGCACGTGTGTGTGACATGGGAGGCTTCAGTTTCTTCTTAGCTAGGCAGCTCGCTCTCTCACCATGCTTGGAGAAGCACAACTTGTAACATTGCTGTAAGAGTGTAATCAATCATCTCACAACACATTGCCTCTGTCATATAAAAAGATCCTAAATAGATGTGCCTTTATTGTTGCGGTTTGGAGGCTGTCCTAGAACTCGCTCTGTAGACCAGGCTGGCCTCAAACTCACAGAGATTCTCCTGCTTCTGCCTCCCAAGTGCTGTCATCAAAGGTGTGCGATACCCCCCACCCTACCCCCGCTTATACTTACATTTTTATTACATTTATTTATTCTGTGTGTGTGTGTGTGTGTGTGTGTGTGTGTTTGGACAGGAGTTTATGTCATGTGGAGATCACAAGACAATTTGTGGGAGTTGTATCTTTCCTTCTATCATGTGGGTCCCAAGGATGAACCAGGTCATCAGGCTTGACAGCAAGACCTTTACACACTGAGTCATGGAATCCTGAGCTCGGGGCTTGGTGGCCTGCACCACCACAACCAATCTTATTTCAATACTTTGGGTTTTTTTTTAGACTTCTTTTTATTTTATGTGTATGGGTTTTCTGACGGTGTCTGTGCACACAAATGCAAGTGACCTTAGGGACCAAAAGAGGGCATTGGGGACCTTGGAAGTGGAGTTGCAGACGCTGGAGTGCTGTCTTGTGGGTGCTAGGAATGGGGTCCTCTGCAAGAGCAGCTCATAATAACAGAGACTCCGCCCTCCTCGTTCATTTCTTATGCCTCATTAATAAAAGAAATAAGGTAGTATTTTATGTTTTATCTAATTAGGTTAGGGCCGCTCAAAAGTGGCCAAACGGCGAGACCCCTATCTCAATTCAAACTCCCAAACGGACCAGAACACCTGCCATTATAATAACATAGGTTCAGGTTTTTAGGAGTGTTTGAGCTAGCTCCCTTTGCTCTCATAAGTCACCTAGGAGTTCACTGTTGATAACTTTCTTAGGTGGTAAAATCGTTTTCTTGAAAAACTGGTCTGCTTCCCACTTCCAAGTCATAAAAATAGATACCAGCGTCCCGAGATGACATCACAAAATAGCGGACAAGCAGCAGGCTAGCATCTCCTGGCCCAGAGAGCTTTTGCCTGTGCCTCCCCCTCCGCACAAAACATAACTGCAGCAGGGGTTCTGCAGGGACGGCTCGGTGGTTAACCACAGCACGCACTGCTCTTGCAGAGGACCTGAGTCCGGTTCCCAGAACTTACGTCTGGTGGTTCGCACTGCCTGTAACCCCAGCTCCGGGTGTCTGATCTCTGAGACCGCTTGCGTTCACATGCAACCTTCCCCTACCCCAGCGTTGCAGAACATTATTTTAAGGTGTGTTACTTTTGTTCGTGCTTTGGAACATTTGTTTAATGATGCAAAGATGGGTGTGAGTGAATAAAATTCGCCTGCCGAGAGGAGGCTGCATCAGCCAACTGTAGGGAGGAGCCAGTTGGAGAAGGGTTTATAAGGAGGGCTGCGGAGAGGCTGAGGTTTCCCGAGAGACTTGAGAGGGAGACAAGGTGGGCTACTTGCTGTTCAGCCTCTCTGTGGGGCAGAATTCCACCTCAGCCTTTGAATCGTGAGGTCTTTAGAGGGTCAGGGATCTAGGTATGTTCTCTTTGCCCCTGTGAAAAGAGTCGGTGCCTGCGGGAGTCACAGGTGCTGATTCGGCTGCCTTGGCTTAAAAGGCAGCAACAGATTACAAAGAGGACAACGCCCCATCTCTCACGAGAGGTGACTCAGCGGTTAAGAGCACCGGCTGTTCTTCTCGAGGACTTAAGTTCAATTCCCAGCACCCACATGGCAGTTCACAACTGTCTTTAACGCCAGTTCCAGGGATATCTGACACACCCACACAGACACACATGCAGCCAAATACCAATGCACATGAAGCAAAAAAAAAAAAAAGTATAAAGTATAGCCATAGTCAAGGAAGTCAGGACAATAACAGGTGTAACCTGAATTCATATATTCTGGATTCAAGGGTGCCCTGGAAGTGTAGGGAAGTGTAAGTATGTGGTCTCTCTGAACATCAATTCTGTCTTCTGTAAAACAAGGGGGAATGGAGTGCTAGTTTTCCCAGAGACATTGGTAAGTATTTTATTTTTAGCAGTCATTCAATAAGTAGTATTGCTTTTCATTAGCCTAGTGGCTGGTTACACTTCATTCATTCATTCATTCATTCATTCATTGGAGACATGGTCTAGGCTGGCCTCAGACTGCCTGTGTAGCCAAGGACGACTGAATTTCAGATCCCCCTGGCTCTCCTTGTGCACTAGGGTTATGCAGTGCCGGGACAGGACCCAAGGCTTTGGCACGTTACACAAGCATCCTACCTACTGAGCTGCAGTCTCACCCCTTACTTCTTAAGTGTGTGTGAGTGTGTGCCCGTGCATGTGAGTGTGTGTGCTCGTGCATGCCTGTGTGTGTGCCCGTGCATGTGTGTGTAGGTGTGAGTGTGTGTGCCCGTGTATGCATGCGTGTGTGTGAGTGTGTGCTCATGCATGCGTGTGTGTGTGTGAGTGTGAGTGTGTGTGCCCGTGCATGCGTGTGTGTGCATGTGTGTGAGTGTGTGTGTAGGTGTGAGTGTAGGCCAGAAGTTGGTGACGGCGTCTCAGGGCTGCCAGTCTCAGGGATCCTCCTGTCTTCACCCCCATCGCTGGGACTAGAGGTATACACTGGGCACCTGCCTTTCTAACGTGTGTTCCAGGACTCAGATTTGGGTCCTCATTCTTGAGCTGTGAATGCTGTACAGATGGAGCCCTATTGCTAGCCCTGACCCTGTATTTCTAATGCTGCCATGTTTGGTCACTGTGGCTATTCTCCAGGTTTGTAAAGATCAGTGTTCCAAATAGCTCTGTCCAAAATATTTTCCTTTCTCTTGTTCCTGTTAGTACAAACATACAGGACTGACACAGGTGTACACACACACAGACACACACTCACACATACACACACAGACTCTCACACACACAGACACACACACACACCACACACACACACACACACACACAGTGTCTGCTGCCCCCTTTTATATTCAAATGATGCGCATAAATGCAAACAGCACAGAACCCGCTAGCTGGAGTCCACACTCTTACAAAGAAGAACCATCGTCTGCAAATACACTCTTGGCTCACTAGTCACACTCGGAGCCCACCAGCCATCTGACAGATCCCAGGATACTCGCACTGCTAGGTCCATTCACGCAGAGCCTCGTTACCGGCCCCATTGTGGGAAGGTACCTTATTCTTGCTTTCTTTGGGGATTATTTTATTTCAGTTCTCTTTGTTTTTGTTGTTCTAGAGAGTTTATCATCTGTCCCTCTTTCTCCCTACCCAGCCCCCAAACCTCCCCCCTCCAGCCTCCATTGCGCATGTGTTATGAATCCCTCCCCCATCCTGGGTACCAGTTGGGCTGCTTTCGGGAGCAGGCGGTTGAAGAGATGAAGCAGCTTCCTCTGGAACACCCGACCCCTTAGAAAACACTGCTGACCAGAGCTGCCTTCCTCCCTGCTGCCTCAGCAGGGATGGAGTGAAAGGGGACATCTCGGCCTGCCCGCGGGGATCAGCAATGGAGTTAAAGCAATCTCTGTCTGTCCATCTGGAAGCCGAGAAGCCTCTGAGGCGCTATGGGGCGGTGGAGGAGACAGCATGGAAAGCGGAGGGACTGGGAAGTAAGTGTTCGGGCAGGAAACGGATGGGGACCGTTGGGGATCCGTGTGCTGGAGCTGGTGGCCCCTAGTGCTCGAGAAACGTGGGTGAGCAGACAGGGGAAGCGCCCCCGCAGCCCGGCTTCCGATGTGGCACAGCAGCGGTGTCCCCCCTACAAACAAAAGATGGGACCCTCCAGGGCTTGGCTGCACCAGGAGGCTCCTCGGGAGATCGCAAGACAGTTAAGCCAGGGGGAGCCTGAGTCGGACTAGGGAGTCCCAGATCCGGGAGCCAGAAGCTGCTCTTGGGAAGGACAGTCTTCCCTGCAGCCTGGGAAGGAGGGTACTAAGGCATTGGGATGCTTGAGGGCGGGCGCAGCAGCTAAGGGCCAGCTTCGGAAGCGCCCACGTACTGAAGATGGGGGAGTGTCTGCTTGCTCATCCTGCCTTGAGGTTCAGGGCATAGCTGAAATCCCAGCGTCTTCCCACCTTCTCCTGGGTCAGAGGAGAGGCCAGCGAGCAAGCGAGGGCAAGGTCAGCCCCGCACACACCGTGCTCTTCTAAGCCCTTGACTCGATGACTAGGCGGGCGGTTTTGAAACAGTCCTCTGCACTCACGGATTCTCTATGGTGTTTTGGTATCAACAGATATCGGTTAAAAAAAATCCCAGACTTTTGCTTTCAATTTGTTGGACTTGATACTTAAAAGTGCAGAATGTGAAGGCTGTTGGTAAAGTCTAGGGTCTCTGAGGTTCCTACAACTCCCGGGGCTCGCCAGTGTCCTCCACCCCACCTCCTGCTCTGACAGGGCTTGCTCAGCAGCCCTAGTGCATGTGGCCTGCCAGGCTGGAAAAGTCCCTCTTGTCTTCTGAGGGGCCCTGAAGCCACCTGCTTTGACTCTGGCTCTCCGGGCTCAGGGGTCTTCCCCAGTCCGGGTTCCCGAGTTGCAAGTGCTTAAGGTATTGTAAATATGCTCCTTTCCCATCTTCACTTCTGAGAAATTGTGTGTGTGTGTGTGTGTGTGTGTGTGTGTGTGTGTGTGTACATACATGAGCATGCACATGTGGTTGTTTTCTTATAACTATGGACTCAACAGCTTGGCTGTACTGTGTTTGGGCTTCACGTCCAAATGTCTTCATTCCTGCTATGGTGAGTGTCCTAACCCTTCCAATCTCTTTCCTACTTTCCTTTTCTTTCTCCTTTTAAGACCTGGGTTCATCATTTTTCTGCTTCATCCTTTCTAACTATCTGGCTTGAGCATTTTGAGGTAAACTCAAGGCTGAAGGTCAGTTTCGCAAGTTCAAAAATAATACCACCAACGGGTGCGTTTTAGACTGCTGGATTGCCAAATCCTGAGAACCTCAGATATACCAATCTGATTTAATCATCGTTACCTCCTCATGTGGCCTTGTGACATCCTTTGTGTGGATGAGAAGGATGGGTCTTGCTAGGTGATATAAACGGAAGTGATAAGACCAGTGTTCAGACCCAGGTTAGCGGAACTCCACGCATTTGTGTGTGTGTGTGTGTGTGTGTGTGTGTGTGTGTGTATGTGTGTGTGTGCAAGTTTATTGCTTTCATAGTCTCATGAATCTTCCTGGGTCTGTGTCAAAGATCGTCGGCAATTTTATAAGCAGATAGTGGCCGTGTTGGTCCCTGAAGCCCCCACAGAGTAGAAGCCAAGCACAATCGAGGAATCTCAGGTTTGACTAGGGCTTTTTTTGGCTGACAGCGTGACAAGGTGCGTTTCTGTCCTCACTCTACCTCCGTTCTTTGAAAGTGGGGACCATACCAGGCACCATATGGCTTTATCGTGAATATTAAACAAGATGGTGTTTAGGTGAGGATTCAGGACACACACATTCATCATTTCAAACGTCTGTGGCGGGAAACTCCTCTCACCCTTTCTATGAAACTTCATTGAGTTAAACTGGGTTAGAACCGCAATGCCGGGGAGATCTCTGGGAGTTCTAGGCCAGCCAGGGCTACAAAGGAAGACCCTGTCTCAGAGCAAAACAACAAGGCAAACTGAAAATATGGAGCAAGTTCCCTAGCAGCGTGTCTCCACCCGCAAGGTCCCATGTAGCCCAGGTTGGCCTCAAACTCTCTGTAGCCAAGGACGACCTTGAGTTCCCCTGCCTCTCCTCCCAAGCCAAGGACGACCTTGAGTTCCCTGCCTCTCCTCCCAAGCGGTGGTGCCCAGCTCCTTCCTAGCGCTTCTCCTACAGCTTCTCGTCTTCTTGCCTTTTTATGGAGGAAAACCAAATTCAAGCATATAGGGAAAATTAAGGTGAGAATTCAGTTTATGCCATGTAAGTCCCTGACAGTTTTGTATCTCTTAGTCCTGGCTCTAGACTCCCTGATCAATGGTAGACCAGCTTCTTGTGGGCTTTGGCACAGACGCCCAAACCTGTCCATCCCGTAGCTCTCCAAGCTGTTCGCTTTTGAAATCTTCTCCAAGCAGGACCCCCGAGTCCCCTCTGGGAACTTGAATCTGGCAAGCTTGGGTGTTTTGGTTCCTGTCTATAATCAGGAGTTTGGGGATTTTTGTTTTGTGGGAACTTCCTCTCAACTCCCAGGTGATCTAAGGAACCGCCCTATAGGTGCCTCATAGTCAGCTTTTTCTCCAGCTCGAGCAGATCTGACACCGTCTTCTGAGCTATACGAACACCCACATGTGCACACACACACACACACACACACACACACACACACAAATAAAAGAAAAGCTTAAAAATGGCAACAGTCAAAGTAACGGATGCTCGGGGCCCTTGGGGGGCAGAAGGAGGTAATTTAACACACAGCCTGGTCTGGTGCGAGCCCCAGGTCAGTGCTAAGTGGTTGTGTCTCCTCGTGTCTGCAGTGATGACTGAAAAAGCCGTGAGGTATGGACGATAACTGTGTCGACGCTGCCTTCTTTACAGAAAGACACTTCTTAGTGCCTCACCCTGTGCCCTTTTTCAGTTTTGGGGTTCGAACTAGGGTATAGCACAATAAATGAATGACCCAGAGACTGATATTGGGGTTCAAGCTTCAAGCTGAAGATCAGAGAGGCAAAGCAGCCAAGCCAGTAGCTCTTACCTCTACCTCAGGCTGAAAGGGCTGATCCCGTCTCCATGAGCTCTCACCAGGCCTCAGACAGTGTGACTCACCTCAGCGTGGCTGAGGGATCCTGAGACTGACTACTGAAGACCCTGCTCCTATCTTTTATATCTTTCTAGTGCTGGGATTGGAGGCATGAGCTCTGTTACTCTTTTAGACTGATGCAATCTCCTGAAGCCCTGGGTGGCCTTGAACTCAGAGAGATCCACCTGTCTTTGTCTTCTGAGTCCTGGGGTTAATGGTGTGTGCCTGACTTCTATGGCTAACTAGTATGGCTGCTTTGCTATTTTGATCTCCAGTGGTTTTAATAAATCATAATATATCAGCACACTAGGGAATCATGAATGCTAGAAACCATCTAGTATTTTCTCACTCAAAACAGATTCTAAGAAATTACTTCTATTAGCCCTTTCCTCCTCCACCTTACCAGGTAGTCCAGGCTAGCCTCAAAGTTGAGGTAGTCCAGGCTAGCCTCAAAGTTGAGGTAGTCCAGGCTAGCCTCAAAGTTGAAGTAGTCCAGGCTAGACTCAAAGTTGAGGTCCTTCTGTCTCTACTCCACCTCCATCTACCTTTGACAGCATTTTCCCATAAGGAGTGAGGTTGGGTTTGTTTGTTTTTTCAATAACTCAGTTGGAAAATGCATAGTGACATTTCACTGTGGTGATATCTATAAAAATATTGCTTTCAACTGACTGTAATTAATTAAGGGAGACATGAAGACACAGTGCCTTTGAGAAAGCTTGGGGCTCTTAAAGAACACAGTGGTCTGTTGTCAGCGCCACATCTTAGCGGATCTGAATGTACCTTAAAAGATGTCCAAGGACTGGATGAGAGGATGGAGGGAAGATGGCTCTGTGTGTGCGTGTGTGAGTGTGTGTGTCAGGTGTGTGTGTGTGTCAGGTGTGTGTGTGTCAGGTGTGTGTGTGTCAGGTGTGTGTGTGGCAGGTGTGTGTGTGGCAGGTGTGTGTGGCAGGTGGGTGTGTGTGTCACAGGTGGGTGTGCACCTAGGGTATCAGGATAGGAGAGACTGAAATAAAGCAGCTAGCCCAGGCAGCTGTCTTCCCAGAAGCCCCTGGAAGATGACTTCTATTTGCAAGCCCAAGGATGTGAAGTGCAGATCACTAACTGACCAGTGTCTCTGTTAACAAACATTACGGAGCTTGAAGTAATGTGACTTGCTGCCTATCTGTTGGGGGAAGGTTTTTGCACCATTTCCCTTGGTTTGACTCATTTCCTCTGACTTCCTAATTAAGGAAGATAATGGTATTATTTCTCATTTTATTTTTAGCATTATTTTTCCTTCTTATGATAAAAATAATAAGTTCATTTTTTTTGTTGTTGTTGTTTAGAGACAGGACCTCATGTATTCCAGACTAGCTTCCATGGAAATGCTGGAGTGACAGGAACATGCCACCACCCCTGGAAGTGTTCCAGTAGAAGGGCACCAGCACTGACGGAGGCAAAGGCTCTCCGTGTGCAGGGTTTATTTAGGGGACATCAGGATATCAGATAATATCTAAACAGCGTTCTGGTCATGATCAATGCTTCCTTGGGATTCTCAGGGAGGAATATTGCTCATCTGGCCATCAGGAAATGACTGCCTTGCAGAATGTAACATTTGGCACGCCAATAGCAAGGGATCCGAGCTCAGGATGAGAAGACTTGGAGCATTCAAGGAAGAGAGGCAGGTGACTAACGCAGCTGGGACCCAGTGAGTCAGGACAAGGTGGTTCTTAGTCAGAAAGGAGGCAGGCCAGATATGACCTATGGCTACGGTTTTAAGAAAAAGAAGCTGACTACCACGGTAAGACACGTGGCTGGGTCACGCTTTTCGTGTACTAATATACTTATTTATTCTGCGTGTGGGGAGGACATGTGGAGGTCGGAGGACAGGAGTCCATTCCCTCCTTCCGCTACGGGGAC